GTAAATTATTAGAAAAATATGATCGGGGGTAAGCGATTGATATCAAAATTCAAGAATCGTGATATCAAAAATTTCTAAGGAGAGGGCCAGACGTTCAGAATTCAGAAAAATTTGAAACTTACGGTACATGAAGTGTATCACCCATTATTTTAGCCAAGCAGTAGAATGCGCTTCTCAAGCATTATCGAGAAAATCGGTTTTGAAAAATTTCGAGCGCCATATGTACGTTGATCGTTGAGGAGTTTTTGAGTAATTTCGTGTATCGTAACGGGTAGCGCTATTGCTTAGTAATTACAAGATCGTTTGTTCGGAGTCTCATTGTCGGTACTCTTTTTTTAAATATTTATGTCCTTTCTATGTAAAATTAATCAAATTTGTAGGAATAAACGGATTTTTAATATAAATCTTCTGTGAAAAACGCACATTTCATTTACAGCGTACCGAAAACCTGCGATAAATAAAACCCAATGTAACGAGAGGAGACAAACATTAAACACGTTATTTTTGCGTTAAGGTTTCCTTTTTTGTGCTCTTTTTACGTTTTAGGTTTCATTTTTTGCGTAATTTATAACTTGAAATTTTTATATATTTTTGAATGTAATTAGAAACATAAAATTCTCGAAAACATTAAATTCTCGGAATCACAAGGGAAATTTGGAACAATGGTATTCTATAATAATTTTGCTTATCATGAGAGATACTAAATTCAATATAAAGAGTATAATTTGATTATTTAATTGAAAAGTATTGACCTAAATTATTTTATCAGTACTACTTTGTGCTAAATTTTTGTGTTTCGAAAGAAATAAAATTATGTTATATTAAATAAATAAATTGAGACAATTCCATTTTGAATTTTAACTATAATATAACCATTATACATTTGTATCGCGGTAATTCTAATGTAACAGCTCGAGAATAAAAATAAGTAGTTGCCAAATAAAAACATATAAAAATAATCATTGAAAAGAAGGATTGAAAAGAAGAAATATACATTTTTATCGTTTTTTAAAAGAGAAAGCGTTAATATTAAAGTGGGAAGAAGCTTGTGAAAAATTAATTTTTATTATTGTAAAAGATAAAACCAAATTCATTATATTACATATTGTAAGCAAATATTATTAAAAACATAAAATTAAGTAAAATGATCATTGCGTGATGCCTGATTTAAATAGTCGCAGCAACATGGCAGCGTATGGTATCATGTTCTCATTGGCTGTTAGAGATGCGCAAGAGTTGAGTTTCTTCCACCACTTATCGTTCATTGTGGTTGTCAGATATGTCGGACTCAGTCGGACGATACAAATGTATTGTAATCAGTTAAGTGATGAACTAATGCGTTGTACAGCAGCGTAGTACATTCCTCAGGTATATTTGTTTGTCAGTCCGTCATATTTTTCGATTATTTTAATTTATGAACGAATATTGCAGGAAGTTACCGTTTTATTTGGTTGTCTGTATTTATTCGCGATTCTTTATTGTTAATTTTAGGTTAAGTGCACAGATAAAAAAGTATATCACCTATTTAATCTTATTACTCATCGCGATTAGAAAATTGAAAGAGCAAAATATTATTTTTAGACGTTCATATTTAATTATATGTCCGAGATCATTGTAAAGTAAATATATTATTTTGCTAATCTTGTAAAACTTTTGATTTTGAAAGGATTGACAACGTTGTACTCTCCAATTAATGGTGCATAACTTTTTATAGTTATTTGCTGACATGCACCGATTTGCTGACATCTTTGTCATCTTTAATTTATTATCGTTAACATTCATATTTTACGAAGACAAGATTAATTTAAGTTACTGTTACAAAATACAAAAATATCAATTATTAAAGAAGATGAAAAAATATTTGAAACAACTATTTCACTCATAGATTTTGTTATTAGGCATTTTGTATGATCCGTTTATCTCTTTGTTCTTTATCATTACTTGAATTATTTATTATTGGATTATTTATATACATTAGATTGCATCATTGTTACATAAAATGCCTCAATACTTGTATCAAAGTAATTTATTCTGTTAAAGTAATTTATTTTATCACTCTGTATTCTTAAGATACATAATTATTGTAGATTATTTGTTGGAATGTGAATTATGCTGTGGATTCGAACGTTTGTCCACCTTGTTGCACTCATCTCGATAGCCAAATGCAGCGATATAACACCCGCCGTGTTTGGGAATGTGCTGGATGGCATGCCAGCGGCGTTTGGAGACTTCAATTCCGACGAGTTAACAGACGTGTTTATGCTACGCAAAGATGGCCAGACAGTGGAAATATTCTTGGCGGCTGAGCAGGAACCACTGCTACGGCCCAAGCCAGACCTGAATTGTTCATTTAAAGATCATGTAACCAGTATAGTGCCAGGTGATTTTGATGGCGATGTCTTCATGGACATCCTGGTGACGACATTCAACCGTGAAAAGAAGCTCACTTATGCGCACATACTGTGGGGTGGTAACGGCCATCTGAATTGCAGCAATGAGTGGAATCCCTTTATAGAGATGCGTGATCAGCCATTGGCATTAGACTACAATCAAGATATGATAATCGATCTCTTTGGGGTGGACAAAGATGGCAAAAGGATGTTCTGGATATTTAATGAGAATAGAACCACTCCAGATACCGTTGAGATGCGCAAGCATAGTTCGATGCCACTGGAACCCGTAAGAAATCCACATTCCAATGCCTTTCTGGATTGGAACGGTGACTTTTTGCCGGACCTCGTGATAACTACGACAAAGTCCTTCGAGATATGGTATGGATTGGGCACAGAAAAAGGATTCAAATTTTCTCATGAGATAGATCTTCCATATAATATATCAGTCGATAAAAATTTCAAAGGGGAATTTGGACAGACTCTTTATCTGGATGTCGAGCTGACTGGCAAGATGGCTCTTCTTCTACCATTGTGTTTTGATGAGGCCTGTACCAATTGTACGATAATGATGTACTCGAATGGATGGTACAATCTGCGAGTGAACTTCCATGACCCCAATAACGTTTTGTGGGGTTTCGTGAAACCTAATGGTCATCGTTATACAGAGACTATCACTCTACGCGGTGGCGACTTTAACATGGATGGCTATCCAGATTTGCTAGCGACTCTGCAGTCTGCAAAACAGGCGCAATCATTTTTATTGCAGAATGTAGCATGCAATAACTGCGCCGGCTTCAATCGCACTTTCGATGTCAAGTGGCAGGCACTGAATCCGTTCTATAATGAGACCGCGATGGCAGTGTTTTATGATTTTTATCAGGACGGCATTCTGGACGTGATCTTAGTCGAATTTGACAAGACAAACAATGTCTATCGCACAGCAGCATTCAAGAACAGTCTGGATTACGACGCGAACTTTGTTAAGGTGATGGTGCTCACTGGACGCACCAACAGCATGTATCCCATCTCGCCAGGTTCGCTCGGGAAAAAAAAGAGGACCTACGGCACCAATCTGCCGGGACCGTCAATTGCGTACAGAACCACCACACAGGACGGTAGTCCTCGCAACGCAATCGCAGCGCAATTACCCCAGAGCGCACATTTCTCGCTTAATTTGCCGTACACCACCTTCGGTTTAGGAAGAACGCCCAATTTTGTGGATGCTCTCACGATAGGGGTACGTGTAATAAAAATAGCGTTTGACTTTTAAAACTATACCATTAGTTACACTAAATAAATTATAATCACAAACAAAACTATTGATTACACTAATATTAATTAAAATTGAGACTAGAGAGTTCTGTTTTTGCTATATAAGCAGGATTACACTAAGGAACTTGATCAACTTTTTATTTCTCAACAAATGATGAGTATTTCTTGCAGGACTTTTTACACCGAAAAAGAATACGCTTTTCAAAAAATGTCATCAGTCTTTAATTTTTTAAATCTCTGCTTTAAATTTCTTATATAATAACGCAAATTTGCACTAAATTACAAAATTTCTGTTTCTCAGCATCTAAATGATAATTCTTATGTATTTTATTTCATAAAGTGAAAAGATTTATAGTTTTGCAAAAATAGTCTTAATTTTTCAAAATCTGAATAATGGAACTTTTTTAATCTTATATTTTTTTTAGCAATTAAAAATACATAAGAATTATTACTCAGAGGTAGTGAGAAACAGAAACCTTATAATTTAGTGCAATGTAAGATATACACACACATGACAATTGATTATTAATCCAACATTAATTACTTACCATTTATGGTATAATTACACTTATAGGTGTAATTCGATTTTACTAAAATTTCAAATGATATAGAATATTTTTTAAGTATATATTTGTTTTTCAGGTTGGCGGTAAATCACGAGAATGGCCGCAAATTATTCCTAATTCACAAATGGTCGTGATACCGAATCCGATTGCTGAACCATCGAGATGGAAGGCTCAGCTATTCGTTACGCCCAGCAAGTTAATTTTACTGAGCGCAGCAGCTTTATCTGGCACCTGCGCTTTGATTACGTCTTTAATTCTCGGTTTATATTGGAAGGAGAGGAGAGAAGACAAAATCGAGAAACTCCAGGAAGCGCACAGATTTCACTTCGACGCGATGTAGGAAAATTAATATAATAAGAGGAAAAGAAGGGATAAGATCAATAATTAAAACTTATTTAAGATATCGGTTTATTGATATAATAATTTAATAATAAATAAATCGCGCTTAATATCCTCAAACTCGCATAAAATCCTCATATTCATCAGTCGCGACTCCGACAGCATACGAAATATCGCATCTTTTTTCCATTAACCGTAAAACTTTTACTTTCGATATAAAGAAGTTACCGTCAAGATAAAATTAACGATTTATCAATTCTTTTTCATCATTATAAAATGACAAGACTCGTCGGTGTCTTCTTCTTGTCGTAAGGGACGATTATCTCGTCCGAGCGCATTATATATATATTAACAAATGATCATTGCCAGAGCGTTTTCCTTTACACTTTTTGGTCGCTGCGTGTCGTAATTTGCTTTTGGTTGGTTTGAGCTAAGAGGGATGACCCGCTATTGGCATCGGTCGTTTTTTATGACAGGGTTCAAGTCGTTGAAGTACGGATGTGCCATCGCTTCCTCCGCCGACAGCCGTAGAGCCGGATTACACACTAATAATCTCTATTAATCAGAAAACGTCATACAATTGAAAACCATCCAAAACTTTAAATAAAAGAGCTTGTTATTGCTTAATTTTAGAAGATATAAACGTAATTTTTCGATATTTTATTTAGAAAAAGGAGGTTTAGGAAAACTTTCTATTTTTCAAATTTTTATTTATATTAGCATTTTTTAATGAAGGCTTGAATCGTAGTATTGAGATGTTCTATTCTAAATCATAATTTCTCTAGTATTGAGATGTTCTATTCTAAATCATAATTTCTCTACATTTTCACTCTACATACTTTTATTATATTTTTTTATTTTACATTTTTCTTTGTTATAAATTGTTATATTATTGTATTAAATTTATTATTATCGTCAGTTTGATTATGCTTGTATATGTTAAATATATATTAATATATTCTTTATACAATTTTTTAATATATTCTATAAACATATTAGATATGCTAAATAACTATTAATAAACAATATTAAATGAAATCGAGAAGTGTTTAAATACTAATAAAAAAGAAGAAGAAAGCCATTTTCGACTAAAGCAGATCTTAATGCTTACAATTAGTAATATTTATGTATGAAATACAAATATAATTCTATACTGTGCGTCGATTCGGTTTGTCAAATTCTAAACAAAATCATAAACTAAAATCTTACAATTACTGAATTGTTGATTTAATAATAATACTAGCATCTGTAAATAACTTATTGCGAAAAATATCACTTCAGGATCCGAACTTTGATCTCTCTGAGTTTATGTTTCACAATTCTATTATTTCAATGATTAAAGTAAACAATGATTTACCTGGAGTAAGTCTTTGCCTCTTGAAGTGAGTTTAGGTGTAACCTGTGCCAATCCTTGCGTGGGATGGTACTGTGGGAATGGTTTGTAATCAGGAAGTGTTGTTAAATCTGGCCACGTTTCTTCAGTCGGTGTACCTAACATTTTGAATATTCTTTTCAACTGATCATCTACATCCGATCCAGGAAAAAGCGGTCTGCCGGCGTTCGCTAATTCTATACCATGAAAACAAAATATCGATATTTTATTCTTTATATACTAAAATAATATACCAAAAAAAATTAAAAGGTTATTTAAAAAAATTTTTAATTTACACAGATTCGTAAATATTTGTGCATAATATTAATTATGAAAAGTTTTGCCAATTGTTGACTTTTCAATTCTTGAGGAAAAAAAAATTATGAAACAATTACCGGCGAATATGCATCCCGCGCTCCACATGTCAATGGACGTTGTATATAATTTTGCTCCGAAAAGAACATCCGGGGGACGGTACCATAATGTAACAACTTCTGCTGAGTAACATTTTACAGGGATACCAAATGCTCTTGCTAATCCAAAATCAGCGAGCTTCAACTCCCCGTTCTGTAAATAATTCTCTGATTTAATAGACAAACATAAAATAGCTATAAGAAATTTTCTCTGCAAAAAAATATTTATCTAAATATATTATAAAAGAATTTTTGTAGAAATACTCAAATATAAAAATTTGATAACTGCATTTCTACCTTGTTGATGAGTAAGTTTTGTGGTTTGAGGTCTCTGTGCAGAACATTACGGCTATGGCAGAATGCTAGTCCTCTTAACAATTGATATCTAAAAAGAAACGTGAATTTGTCAATCTTCTTTTATGGAAAAATACTATTAGACTCGTGAAAAAATTATTGGAAATAATTGGAAAATTATTCGAATCAAATATTGTAAACTGTTCCAATAATTTTTTTACTGATCCAATAGTATTTTTCTACAAAGAGTTACCCACAGTGGGATGAATTCAGGAAACAAGCATCTTACAGGAATGATTTAACGACGTCCAAGTCAATTTCTCCATTTAGACTATCAAAGTACTTCTTGAGATCCTGATCACAGTGTTCAAATACCAAGGTGAGTTTCTTGTCGCTGTGCAGCACATCATAGAGACGAACTATATTTTTATGCTTGAGTTCCTTCAGAAGACAGATCTCCCGTAGAGCTGATGATGGTACACCCTTGGGTATAAAGAGCACACAAGCGATAAGACGCTGATATCAAGGAGATCGCGCCGGCCTTCGTCGTGAAGATTTATTTTCGACGCGACACGAGGCGAGCGACGCGTTATAAATAAAGTACGCGAGCGATCGATTAATTAGATTAATCGGAACGCCGGTGTCGCGGCAAAACAGCAGGTGGGGATTGCGATGAGGGGGATTCGTGCGAAAGAAAAGAAAAAAAAAAGAAAGGGAAAAAGATAGATCGGATAAGCACTACCTACTTCATCATCATCGTCCAGTCGCACCCGCTTCAGCGCGACGATTTCGTGCGTCTCGCGATTCTTGGCTTTGAACACGGTGCCATAAGTGCCTGAAAATTAAAAAAAAAAGCGAGTCGAAAATTTAATGGTATACGATCTTGCTGTTATGTGTTGACAGAAAGAGTGTAACATAGACGAGGAGGGGACACGACGCACACACCGGGAAACGACGAGTCGCGGCGCGTCGCCAGACGACGCGGGCGACGTCGGTAACGACGACGATACTGCGTCGCCGGACGACGTTTATCTCCCGCAACTTCAACCGCAAACGGCTCACCTTCTCCTATTTTTTCGAGCTTCTCATACTTTTGCATATTTTTGCTGATACCACGGGCGGAACGCGCACGCACGTACGCACTGTCGCGCGCACAGTGTCACGCCACTGCACACCTGACACCACTGCGCGTCGCGTTCGTGGCACGACGAACGTCGAACACTCGAAACTCGAATTGACTCGAATGTACTGTGGAGCACTGTGGTGGAGTAGTGTGGAGTGTGGTTGTGGTGACTGAACACTGACATGCAGTGCCACCAACCTCACTACCGGATGCTACCAACAGAAGATTCTGTTCGCGTTCGGTGCTCTTTGTGCACTTGGCAACTTTGCTTTCTCTTTTCAACGTTCAAATAAATATATCTATCTCATTTTAAGTATAAAGATTGTTGAAGATTTCAAGTAACGCGAACGGACCTCTGAATATATAAAAATATGCGATATATTTTTTAATAAAATTATTAATTTTTTCAGATTAAATATTATTTTATTTTCCATCTTTGTTGTATTTATAATTCTTTTCTTTATTTTGTCAGTGAAAAATATTACATTTGCATTCTGATTATTTCATAATTATCACTGCTCGCTTTGTAAATATCATCCTAAAAAATTTTGTTTAAATTTAAAGTTGAAGTATTGAAAGTTTTTTAGGATATATGAATTTTTAAAGTAAAAATTATATTCTCACACACATAACATATACCTTAACATATAAAATGGAGTAATTTATTTGCAGCAAATAAAAAAAATCATAATCATAAACGAGCAAAAAATAAAGTTAGGAAAAAATTAATACATATTTATTCAAATTTATAATTAAAGTAATTAAAAGTTGAGTTTGCCGCTCCCACACATTTTTTGGGATGGAAGCAACGAATTCGTAATCTTCAATTACTTATAGATTCGAATAAATATGTATTAGTTCTTTTCTAACTTCGTTTTTTGCTCGTTTATAATTTTGATTTTTCTTCATTTGCTTAAGTACACGCAAGTCTTATCTTATATTTAATTATTATATTATCTTATCTTTAATTATCTTAGTGTTCATTTTGTTTGTAACATGACATCAGTTTCTAGAAAAACCATAGTCAACATGTGTAATGTGTGTGTGATTAGTTTGATTAAAAGAAATATGTATATATATGTGTGTGTGTATAACCGTCTTTAAATGTTTTTTTTTTAAATTACACTTAATTCATAATCCTTCTTCCTGTTTTTCAAATGTGCTTCAAGTATTTTCAATAGCTGTGGCCTTTTTAAATGAGTGTAAGCGATAGATAACATTTGCAGAGCTCTAGTTTGTACGTGAATGCCGCCGTTCGAGAAGAGGTCGTGTCCCAGTTCCAAGCAAGTACCGAAATCGCATTCGTCCGCGGCTATTGTCGCCAACCTTACGATTTCATCGAGCTTTGCGATCGACATTTTTCTATCTTCCGGAGTATCAGCTTCCTCTATCAGCTTCAATATCTTTTGCAAATCATCTATAACATACGTGAGACATTTACATTGCGTGAATCCATATACGTGCAAAGTGTGTGTGTAATGATAATCTTGAATAATTCAAAGTTGTAGTTAAATTAAGGAAATAATGATTTTTAATATTTTTTGCTGTATACATATGTATATATATAATACATATATATAGTACATATATATATATACTATATATACATAATTGAGTGTATTAATATTTAGTATAAGCATATTTATAAGAGAGTCTCATAACATATGACTTTACAATTCTTTTTATTTCTTATACATAAAGCAGCTAAGAAATACAATTTATAAACGATCTATTTATAAAAAAATTTGAATGTGTGCGCATTAAATACCATTAGTGCAATTGTACTTACTGTCGGTTGCTGCCAAATCTCTGTAACCCAATTGAGTCTTTTTATCATAAGGTACGACTATACCAGCTTTATGAAAGGTTCGCGCTACAACCCGTTTCTCTCTCGCTCGCATATCTGTGGTATTTTTGTCCAAAGTTATGTCGTGCTGTTTGGCAAAGTTCTTCAGTTGCGAAAGCAAACGTATTATGCTGGTTTTCTCGAAAGGATTGGCCGTTTTCACTTTGTTTTGCAAATAAGCACTATAATTTAAATAATATAGATAAAAGAATAATGTAAAAAAAGGTCATAAAAGCTTATATAAATATAGATCTATATATATTAAATCTCTTAAATTTTCGTATTTACTTACTCGACAGCACCAAATATATTTTCTGCAACGGGTTCAAATATGCCATTCACATTTGCTCGATTCTTTGCTATAAATACTGGTTTTTCTACTGCATCATCTCGCCAGTAACCAAAATGTAATCCTTCTTTATCATCACATTTCACAATAGTCTGTGAATATAATTCTTGTGTCGTATAAATTTACATCTTTAGTGTTATAATCATGAATACAGTGTCATTTGACATTGTATTCATAAAATACTAGTTTGTCTTATATACCTGAAATTCTGGAGGATCGTAATAATATCTCCAATGTATCAAATATTTTTCCTTATCGTTTTCACTAGAAGAAATTTTTATTTTACCATCCAGAATATCATACGGACCCACAAGTTTCAAGCGAACATATTTACAAGCCGAAAGGGGATTAACTTTTGATATGTTTTTACAAAACTCATAAAATTGAAAAAAATCTTTCGGCATCTCGACCAGAAATAGATCCATAATAATTCTTTTGACATCCATATCAGGCATTGATATATTCTCAGTTGCATCGTTTTCGATTGAATTAACTGAATTATGTCCATTCAATGATATTTTCTTATCTGATGCTTCTGTTTTCTCTTTAAACGTTTCATTGTCATTTTTATTGTTATCTATAACGGCATCATTTCTTTTTGGATTTGAGAAAAAACTATGTAAATTTCTTTCAGAAGACTCGAGTGTCTTCTGAAATTTTCTTCGTGGACTTTTTGATTGCACTTTTTTATCATCTTTAATAGGATGTTTTCTCTTTTCTCCAGTAATTATCTTCTCAGTTTTCTCCTTTACCTAAGAAATCAGAAGGATAAATAAGAACAACTGTACATTAAATTAATTGATGATTAATTCAACCAGCAAAATTGCTTAAAGCAAAATTTTAAACAATAATTCATTGTCCCTAATTATTCTTCCATATCTTAAACAATAAAAATTAATAATGTTATTCAGATTAACAAAATATGTAAGACATTTATTTACCAAAAGTTAATCATTGAGCAAGTTAATCGAATGATAATATTAATAATTGTTGAATTGTAATATTAATTAATGTTAGCATGTCTCTCTCTCAATTGCAAATTTGCCATATTTATCGTCAGTTGAAGATTATACGTTACCGTTTCTCCTTTTGGCGGATGTTTGTACTTGCTGTGATGTTGCGGATTTTTTTGATAGCACTTGGCACCATACTGGCAAGGAATTCGCGAATCGTCTTTATACGCCTGGGATTCAGCGTCTTTGACGTTGTTAGATGACATTATAGAAAATATTTTTGATATATTACACTGTTCGATTCTTCGTCATTAGCGACAAATATGATTTTTATATGTCATATACAACCTAACATACATGACACAGTTGCACCGTTGAGGTTATGTCTTTAAATTTAAATGTCCGTTTTCTGGCTACACTACGTTGTACTTTCTACACTTATTGCGTTACATATGCGGAAAATGCGTCTGACAAATATCCTTTTTCTTCTAGTTGCGCTTCAGTAAAAGTAAACAAATTAGACCTTTAAACTGCAATTTTCATACTTTACTACACTTAAATTTTGCGTTCTTCAAAACTTGAACGTTCCACTCGTTGCAAAATTGTTTTACCAAACACATATTTTTTACATTTTTTTTATCTGTTTTTATCAATGTATATTGATTTTAATATCGGTTAAATTTATTCATCTTTTTTTTAGTTCTAAACATGATGATAAAAAAAGATGAAGTCAAATCGAAATTAAAATTAATCTACATTAGTAGAAACGGATAGATATAAATATATTCGTATTCATTTTACTAAATGCAGATATTTATATAACCATGGTTGATCTTTATTATTTAGTAACATTCTTTAACAAATTGTATAATATTTCATACGTACAGTTACGTATAATGTAAATATAATATGGATATAAAGTAATCATAAAGAATTAATATATTATATATTGACAATAATTGAAATGTAATAAAAGTTTAAGACTTCTAGTTATGTTCGTCTAATTAGGATGTATTCTTTCTTTTCATTCCATAATAATTTGGCAGTACCTCTGAATCACCCGTTTACTTTTTTTCTGTTCTTTCTTTTTTTCAAGTGCAAACCTCTATCCTCTTTCCACAAAACTCAAATTCTCTTAATAAAATACGCCATAATCGTTGATATGGAACAAATAATTTGTCTCGACGAACATCACAGAAGTTACTTTTTTTCGTATTATACGGTAGGTATCGGCCTTATTGTATCGTTTCTATTAACGGAATGTTTACGCCACCGCTCGTGCCTCGGGTAAGAAACTCTCCCAGTATTTAATGAGTTGATTCTGATGTTGTAGCATTGATTCTAGGTATTCGATTAACTGTTTCTTGAAATCTTGCACTCTTACTAATTCGAAGCGTTCAACCTCCTCCTTTATCATCTTTGAGATATTGTCAAATTCTTCCTGACCTCTGTCTACTTTCGCTTCCCATTCTATGACCTCAGTAGCTGCTTGACTCGTCCTGTCTGTTCGGCCTGATTGCTCGAGTCGTGCTTTTTGCTCGCGTTTCTTGTTTAACATCAGTTGAGCGTGTTGCCAATTTTGAAAGACTTTCACTCTCTCATGAAAAACATCCTGCAAAACAATGCCGTATGTGAAAACAAAACATCAAGAATATAAATGCAATCGTAAATTGTAAATACCAACTTTGATTGCGCCAATGAGCGCGACGTAATCCCTCAACATTTCTCCAAATTGATAGAGATCACTGTTGCTTTGCGTCTTCCTGATCACTTCAACTTTCTCCAGAGTTTCGGCTAATTGTGCCAGAGCTCTGCCAAGAGACGCTCCAGGTTCGCCATGACCAAGAACAGCAATCGACTTTGCTGTAGCACCAGTGCAGGTCGCCAATTCCCTTCTTTGATTCGTTAAGGAATCGACCGCGGAATGTAAAGCGCGTAGCTGAATATCAAGGGAATCTATTTGCGATGTTTTCTCTTCGAACCACTGCAAAAAATAC